ATCTATTGCCGTCTCGCGTCTCGTTAATTTATATACGCGTATACACAACGCTCAGAGAGAGAGAGAGAGAGAGAGAGAGAATCCATTCCCTTCTTCTAACGGACGATAATAAATATTATTTCCCCTTTCTCTCTTTCTTTCTTCCTCTTTCTCTTTGTCTCGCGCCTTTGGAACCTCCAACTCTCTTTCTTTTCTTTACGAGACCTTACCAACGCGTGTTTCGTGGAAGGAGTAAAGTCTAAGGCAAACGGATTGACGTAGATACCACCCCTTTCCCCACCTACCCTTCTTTTCTTCTTCTCATCGTGCATAAATAGAAAAGCACCCGGTAGGTGCTAGGTATCGAGCTTGTCTAATGATTTTATCGCCTTTACCTTTCTCCCTCTCTCTCTCTCTTTCTCTGTCGTTTTCTTTCTCATTCACACACTCTCCAATCTGTTTCTTGCAACATTCTACAATGTCCGTGGTTCAAAAAAGGTAATACGATCTCTCACTCTTTCTTTCTCTCCCTTGCGACGCGTTGAGAGGATCATTTAGCCTTAAGTAATTTTGTCAGCGACGCTATTTAACAGACTTGTTGGAAGTAGCTACGTTTACACGAATTTTACCGTCCCGTGCGTTTAAATTACATTACACGCTCTCGTATATACTATTTCAAGAAATTCTAAGCTTAGCAATGACATCGTCTTACTAGTTTAGAACTAAATCGGTCCATTACTTACGTTAAAAAATAAGTAATACTTCTATTTCATTTAATCTAACATAAGCGAACGAATAAATCTTGACAAAAATATGCACCCTCTTTTGCATATTATAGGCTCTGATTTGACTTTAAAAAAGTTAGGAGATTAAATGAATCAAATTTCTAATAATTTCAAAGATCTTGTTAGATTTCGTTTAACGTAAAGACCTTTGTTAGGTCGCGAATCAGCAATGGTCGTTATCCGGAAACAGATCAAGACAGTTGGTAGAAGGAAGGAAGAGCAGGAAGAAGAAGAGGAGGATGAGGAGGAGGAGGTATCAAAACGAAAAGAATTCATCGCCTGTCCTCGGTCGGTAAAACCGCGGTCGTAGATCTCGCGGCACCGTTGATGTGACACGTCTCCCTCTCTTTCTCTCTCTCTCTTACTCTCCTTTGCTAGAGAACTCCTGCACCGACTTGTGCTGTTGCTGCCGCTTCGATACCTGTCCGTCTTGAGCCGTCATTAAGCCCCAACCAGATTCCAATCTGAACAGACGGACGGGACGGACGGGTGAGCATCCGATCAGGACAGCCGGAGAACGCACGAGGAGCGTTTGCTTGCTTGCTGCTTGCTACTTCGCTCTCTTGCCAACCGATTGACGTTAAAGCGGCACGATAGAAAATCAAGGGTCAAGGCTTTCCAAACGTACCCTTTTCGTTCCCGAGATCGATCAACTATCGATAGGATATCGATCCGCAATCGATCGGTAGTTCGGTGTGTATGTACCCTCGCGTTCATTCCAAGATTATATACCAAATCCGCTTTCTCTCGTTGAAAATTTCTACTTGATTACGAGTGAAAGACAAAGGAGGTAATGATGTTAATCTCTTACTACCGTACACGTCGACAATCATTAGCGAGTGAAATCTATCTCTTTTCGATGTTTTCTTTAACTTTTAATATTCTAGTTGGGGATACTTTCAATTTTCAGGACCATTTGATTGATTTTGATCAAGCTATGTTTATTTCAAATTGTTCTAAAATTATAAGTTAAAAAAAATCGATCGTTTCACTGATAGATATATAGATATATTTATTGTGTTGTGAATGCAATAAAAGAGGGAAGAAATTTTGGTTTGTTTCAACGTGACCATCATATCCAGATCCAAGCTCGATTTTACATAGTCGTTCGAAGTCCGTTCCGGCTGTTAAACCTTGTCGTGAATGCGACGACGCGTCGAGATTCGTAATCGGCCCTTCTTTATGACGGGAATCCCGACGATGCATCTTCCTGGTGTGCTCGAAGAAAAATAACCGCGTCAGATAAGAGAAAGCACACGGTGGAAAGAAAGGAGAGGAACATTCTCATTTATATTCTTTTCCAGTGTAATCCTTGAGTTTCAGGGTGAAGAGATAAGTACCCGGTAAGTCCATTTTGACGTCTCAGCTAATCCCACGACGACGTATCACTGCGGTACGATCGATCACTGGACTGTTACATTGTCTGCTTAGTCGCCTTCTCCTCTTCGTAAATTATTGCGACCGATAAATCGGAAAAGACCAACTACCTACCCTCACCAATACCAGGAAACGAATGAACGAACGATCGAACGAACGAACGAGGGAACATATGCATGAACTACGATTTTTATGGCTTTTCTCATAGACGATTATACGATCCATTTACTTTGATAAAGAATACCATAAGTTTGTCCAAAATCTCTCAATTTTAATATCAAATTTGTTATATTCGTTTTATTCGAATAAAAAAAAAATTTTTTACACGATACGTTTCCTTCATGAAGAAACAAGTCTGTAAAAATGCCATTATATTTTTATTACAATCTTTTAATTCATTTAGGGAATAAGGAGAAAGGACATTCGCGTAAATGAGTTCCAACTGAGCGTATTATTCCCCGTTATATAAGTGTTCCCCGAGCGCGTTTAAGGATAACAAACGGATAGAAATGATTTTTCTTAGTACTGGAACATGTAAAAAAAAAATAAAAAATAATGCTCTTGGAAAAGCAATAAAGTCGTAAAAGCCGCTTTCCTTGAAACAATTACTCCTTAGACGATCGAACCAAGAATAATAAAGTCAATTTGGATTATAATAAAAGATATAGATAAACAAATAAATAGAAAAAGAAAAGGAAAAAAAAGAAGAAGAAGAAGAAGAGGAAATGAGAGAACATGAGGGGATAGAAAAGAGAGTTAAAGGTAGTAGGAGAAAAAGCGTGGGACGAAGTTTGGGCGGATCGGTTCGAACCGGCAAGCTGCTAATGACGAGGCGTTAATTTAGCAGCCACGAGAAGGAAATATCTGCGGGTTGGCATGGTCGCCTGTTTGCCTGCCTACTCTGCCTGCCTGCTCTGCCTGCCTGCTCTACCTGCTTGGCCAGCACCGTCGAGTGTTATGGAAGCCTATGCATCAGAATGATGAATGATGTTTCGTGGTTGGAGCGTGGTAAACGAAAAGGGACCGATGTGTGAGACTAAGAGAGAAAGAGGGAAAGAGGAACACAAAGAGGAACAGAGACGGGTAAGAGGGAAGGAAGAAAAGAAGGAAGGAAGAAAGAGGGGTGGGGGGAAGCATCTGCACGCGATACGCGAATCAGCTCGATCCCTCAACGCCGTTTCGACTAAAAAGCTCTCGTTTATTACAAACCCCCCCCCCAACCCCTTCCTCCTTTCCCAGTACGACGTTTGCGCGTCCAACAACTCTCTATCTACCACCACCACCACCACCACCCCATTTCTCCTTTTATTTGATCTTTTTCTTTCTCTTTCGCTTTCTTCAAACTTATCCAAGAACAGATCGCGTCGATACATCTTTCCAAGACACGACGACGAGATATCTTGCTATCTTGCTGAGATGCCGATAAAACGAACAAAATATCCTCGTTAAATCGTGAATTCGCGCGGTTTCTCATCTCGAAACGACTTTAGACTTCATTCATTTCCCACAACTTCCTCTCCCCATTCCCAAACTCTTCTTCGAAACGTCTTCATTCGGATAAATTTTCCGGCATTAATTATAGTCACGTTTCGTTTCATTTGCGCCGACGAATTTGTGGATCTCCGGGTTCAATTCATTTAAATTATAAAACATTATATTTTCGATTTAATTTGTTTTCGGTCGTTTATATCTTGATGACGCGTGATCAGACCATTTTCACTTTTAATGAGATCAAAATAAATATATATATATATATTTAGTGGGGAAATGACGAAACTAAACTACCTTCGTGGTAGAAGGGGGCAGGATATTTAGGGATAAACTTTTATGCGTCAGTGAAACATTCTTGCTTGGAAATGACGCGTTACCTTCTCTTTAAGTCACGAGAAAAGAGAGAAAAAGAGAAAGAGAAACAAGAAACGTCGTAACGCCTGTCTACTTCTTACAGTCCAACTTTATCTTGGTGATTTTTTTGATTTTATCCGATTGTACGTCATTGCCGTCGTCGTGTTTCTTGCATATTTCTTACACATACGTAAATTCTTGCGCTCTCTCTCTCTCTCTCTCTCTCTCTCTCTTTCCCTTATAACTCCGCCTTCCCGTGACAGGTCGCAGTTAATTAAGAAAGAAGCGAACGACGATAATGACAGTGGCAGACGTACTTTTGCGTATGGGGAATTGCAAAATGGCGAAAGAACGGATAGTAAATCAAGATACGAAGCACGTCGGGTAGCTGTATATTGCGACAGTTATACGAGCCATCCATCATCATTTAGAGACGGCATCTATCAGCGTCACCACTCGTGAGCGCGATAATGACGATTCACCGGCTTAGCGGCTTGCTTTGACCCGAACGACCGTTAATTTACGAACCTTCCCCTGTTAGTATCTTTACATCTACCCTTTCGATAAAGTTACCACGACATCGTTAAAATAGTCATCGATGTCTCTCGATAAAATCGTTTCACTCTCCTTCCAATCATCCTTCGTCATTCAAACAATACTACGATTTACAATGATATATTTATTTATAGAGAGTACAGATATCTATGTCTAATTAACCAGTTAAGTGTGGCGAGAGATCTGTGCACAGGGCGCGCTCCGATGTGTGTCGCAATAATCAAGCGATGACGGATATAGTCGTCAAACACAGAGTAAGTGACGCTGTTAAAATATTGGATAGTCAAAAAGACGACTTTATTTTAGAAAATGAACAATTTTGTTAGTAATGTACACACAGTTAACTTAATATGAACATATATTTATACATAATAAAAGGAAAAATTAGAGAAAAAAATCGAATATTTATAGAAGTTGACAATTTATTCTTGACTTTTTTTTTACCTCTAAACATTTTAAACATATTAAAATTTACGAATGTAATTTAATTTTCGCCAAAATTACAATTTAAACATCAAATTGTAACAAACTTTTACGCATGACGGATATAGACGTCATACACAAAATTTTGCCACATCTCCATGACGGATATAGTCGTCAAACACGCTTAACTGATTAAATCTTCGATTCTTTCCAAAATAGTTTTTTTCCCCAAGTACAAAAAGTATTTTATACATTTTTGACATATGTTCATAACTACTTGTTACGATATATTATAAGTTTCTTTGAAAAATGGTTTACTCGAGAGTATTACTTCGTTGATACCGCTTGATTGAGGGTAACTTGGGACAAAAAAAGGGACAATTACGGCAGAAACATTGTCAAGGATATCGGTCATATTTTCTATCCCAGTCACTCGCTCGATCTTCCCCTTCAGACTCGAGGAAGATGATTCTCGTGGTAAGGTTAGGTCTTTCTTACAAGTAGAAGAGAAAAGTAGAAGAAGAAGAAGAAGAAGCGGAAGGAGGGTAGAAAAGTAAAGAATCGGGCGGGTTGGGCCAAGCATTGTGTCTTGATAGATGTGTCAAATCCGAGGCGCATTGTGTTCCTGGAGATAAATGGAGCCGGAGTGAAGAAGCAAAACACGTGCCTTTGTTACCGGTCTACTCATCGAAGGTAATTTAGAGCGCTTCTTCTATTTCCAAAGATAGCCTTAGGTACGATACAAGTGCCACGCGTATCTAACATTTACCAAAACTCACAACTTTACTATGTTGTATGTATTATATATTTTTTTGTTCAAAAATATTCTAAATCGTTAAGGAGTTTTGTACAATTTGCAATAAAAAAAAGGATCATTCCTAAGGACAATAAATTCTTTCGATCATAGTCGTTCTAATTACCCTTCACCATTATCCAATTAATCTAGCACCATTAATTTCTTCCTATCCGGAAACATATTTTTCAAAGATCACCCCTCCGGGTGTCGTTCCTTGTAGACGTAGAACTTTCAAAAGACTACGCCGTTGCTCTTTGATTAGTTTCTTTCCCCCTTGCTTATGAAAGCAAGAGGGAAAAAAAGAAAAAGAAAAATAAAGAAGGAGAGACAGAGTGCGAAAGGAAGATGGGAGAAAAAAGAGGGAAAGGTCGGTAGTCGCACGTCATTTAAGAAAGATGCATCGTAATCGTCTCTCTCCTATGCCGAGAAAGAAGAAGAAGAAGAAGAAGAAGAAGAAGAAGAAGGTAGTGAGTGTGTGGCTCGCTGAGAAACACAACTAAGGGAGAGACAGTACGGGACGCGGTCCGGGACACAAGTCCGGGACACAAGTCCGGGACACAGTCCGCCACCCTGGCGACATGGCTGGGTGGAGAGCAGAAAGCGAGAATTCTCCCGCGGCGCGGAGCCGCGGCACTCGCTTCGCATAAATCATCCCGCTTCTGCTTGGAACAGGGAGAGGCGAAAATAGATGGAGCTCTCTGCGCTTTATACATAAAGAGAGAGAGAGAGAGAGAGAAAACATATCTCTCTTGCCTTCGTGCCCGTGGCTACAAGCAAGGGCCGTATTTCTTCTTTTTCTTCTTCTTATCCTCCAGCCTTCGTTTTATCTTGTTTCTTTTCTTTTTCTAGTCGACCTCGTCGTCGGCGACATCGATGGCATCGTCCTCCTTCCTTCCTTCCTTCCTTTACTACCTTTCCTACCTTAAGAATAAAGACCTCCCACATATTTTCGTGACTTCCTTGAACACAGGTATGAGCAAACCCACGCCATAGGATACTACTCTCGCTGTAAGCGCGAAAGGCCCGAGCTCAACTCCTTTCTAGAATCTTAAGAATCCAAGCACTCGTTCGGTGCTTACACACTGCCAACGCATAACTCCCGGACAATGTTCTCAGGAAGCTGACGCGAACTCGACGCACGAACCACCACACAGCCTTCCGGCATATGCCGCTCGCGGAAGTGCACTTTCTTTAACAAGCTCGTTTTCGCGCGCGCGCGCCGACAATCTTTATTTCTTTTTTTTTGTCCAAGACCCTGGAGAACTCGTGTTTCGTGCTTGTAATGCCGCTGTCGATTGGGAGAGATATCATCGACCTGACCCGTTTGCTGCTTCCCGTCTTGAACACGTTCTTACAAGAATGTTACTTTCGTCAGGTTTAACATCAACGTGGATGATTAAGAGCTTCGCTTCTTTTTTTCCTGTTTCTTTTTTTTTAAATTTCCCCGAAAGAAATATTTGTCGGATGTTAATGGTACGAAAGAAATGTCTCCATGTGATTTATCTCTTTCATTCAAAGAAACAAATATATGCCTTTCGACCGTTCGAGAATGTTTGTTTCTCTTCAAAAATATCGTCCTAAAATAATATGTAGACATATCGTTTTCTTCAAATTGGAAAGGTTCGGACTAGTTCTCGTAATGCAAATAAAGGACAATTTTTTCTACTTTTCCCTTTTTGTATGCGAAGAAAGCAAATCTCTAAAATTCCTAATCCATATATTTGGAGTCTACAAAAGAAAATTGGATAAGACGATGCTTAAGCATAAAAAATATCAAAAGAAAGGGGCGTTTCTCATTTGTTTGCTCCATTTTCACCGTCGAATATCGGATGAATAACTTTGATTCAAAGAAAAAACCGAAAAGTCAAAAAAATCAATTGGTACCCCCTGCCTGTTTTAAAACCATGAATCTCGTCTTGAAAAAAGAACTTTTTGTAGCATTATTTATTTCTGTCATACGGTAGTAACCGATACTAAGAGAGAACCTGCTGCTGCTACTGCCGCCATTGACGTCCTGTGACGACAACTGCGACAACTAAGACGACGAACAGACCGAGAACTAAGCTTTCCAGGGGATCCCATGAAGCATCACGCTGAGCAAAGCGTGGTGCTCCATAAATCTTCTCCGTGTTTTTACGTATCTGACCCCGTGCGACTGTTCCATTATTAGATGCAGCTTTCAAGCTTACTCCGCAAGAATTTCACGAAACCACACGTTGAACCAGCAAAGCAACTCCCTCCTCTCCGACCATACTTTGACATATATTGACCAACCATATGTCCCTCTCGTATTCCACTTCTTTTCATCTCGATCGAATCGAATTTATCATCTAGGATCAGAAAGAGATAGAGCAACTTCCAATTCTCCATTCCTACCTTCTATTTTGATCTATTCTTTGCCATTTCTGCTTAAAATCCAGTCACGAGAGAGGCGAGTGGTTAGTTTTCAGAAGATTGGACAAACCGTTCCAAATCTATACGGTCATACTGGCTTGGAAAGAAAGCGATATTTATGTTTTCCAGATCGTAAATCACGTCGAACTACCCCAATAGATGTGGATTTTCTAAATGATTACATTTTTCAGTGAATCTATCGCTAATAGATTTAGATCTATACGTCATCTAAATGGTTCCTACTAACCATTCTTTTGAACAATGATCTGTCAAGAAAAACTTAAATTTATGACGTGTCCAAAAATTACAATTAGAATAATATGAAAGAATGATCGTAGGAACTATGATATGCTATACAATTATATTATATTTTTATAAAAAAAAAGAAAGAAAAGAAAATATATAAGAGAGAAAATGTTTGAGGATATAGTCGGGTACGCAACTGTGTTTCGTGCGGCTCTTAAACACGAAGCAGCGGCAGCAGCAACGGCAGCAAATCATTGTCGGGGTCAGAAACGAGCTGCGTGAAAAATTGGCTGTGCTTCCAGAGAAAACCAATAACGCCCCGCCACATCAAACGCGGATTCCGGGAAATCATTACCCGGTCTACGCCCAAGGCTTACACACATACGGCGCGGCGTAGCGTTTAAACGCTGCTGGCTGCCTGTGGCTGGAGTAAGTCGAGCTTGGAAGTTGGCGCTGCGATCAGCAAGTAGAGTTGGTGGTGGTGATGGTGGTGGTGGTGGTGCGTTCGGTGCCAACGTGGCATTGTCGCGCGGTGCTGGCGCAGCAGCAGCTTTTTCGCGGCTCGGTCTCTCCTCGGTGGCGCTGCTATCGTAGTAGTTCTACCCCCTCCCTCTCGGTGCCCCCGCGACGTGAGTAACGTCCCGAGTAATATTACGATGACAGTAATTGCTGCTTTGATCAATGCAGATACAGCCGCGCGTAGGCAGCCCTGTCACGCCACTGGGATTCAACGCGATCCTTTCCGGCGTCGTCGCGTTGCGGATAGTCGCCGTAGGCGGATGTATTGCCTACGTGCCTACGACTCTCTTACGCGGATTCCTCTTTACGTGTCTCTATGTATGTATATGTGTACTACGTCGAGAAATAATCGAGCTTGCTTCCTGCGTAACGGATTTAGCTTCGAAGACGACAACACGAACGCGTTAACGACGATGCCACGATCCATCACCTGTCGCGCCACTTTCAACTTTTTCCTCAAAGTCGGCCATCTTTGACTTCCAGTACATGCTCGATTACTAGGTGTCTCGAGAAACTCCTCTCCCTAACTGTTTGGCTCTCGACGACGACGACTTCGTTAGGAAGATTCAATAGCTAATCTCTTAAGAAAGAGATCAAGGATGATGATTTTATTGCGATCCTCACCTTTCTTCATCTCCCCCTCGTCCCTTTCCTTCCCATCCCTAGCGCGGAAAAGAGATATCCGACGCATCGTTTCATCGCCAAATTATCTTGGCAACCTACTGCTACGTAGGATCTCGAGCTCACAGCGTTATAATATTATAGTTATACATTCCAGACACATTTCGCTCGTAAAGTTCGTTAAAACGACGGCTGCTACGCTAGAGAATCGCATAAAGTACGTTTCAAACGGAAGACAGGGGCGACCCGACGCTCGACATAAATATCGAACAATCGTAAAGTCGAGGTGTCATGCCAAAGAGAGAGAGAGAGAGAGAGAGAGAGAGAGAGAGAGAGAGACAAAACTAGCATTGGATGAGAACCCTCGGACTTCTATTAACGATCACCGATCGACGAACTCCACCAGACAGATCTACGTAAAAAAAAAAGATAGAAAAAGAAAAAACCAGTACGTGTGCATGCGTGCGTGTGCGTGCACTCTATGAGAATCGTCCTAGCAGGAGTCCAAGAACCATCTTTTACCCCTCCTCCTTTTTTCCTTCTTCTTCTTCTTCTTCTTCTTCTGAAACCCCTCCCTCCTTCCCACCCCTCTTTTTTCCATCCCTCACTCTCTCTCTCTCTCTCACTTCTCTTACGGAGACTTTTATTTGTGGTGGAATAAATAAAAATTTACGAGCAATTTACGGAGGGTCCTCCGTCAGGTCAGGGGGATCCATCAATTTACTCCGAAGTGCTCGTTTGGCGCGCGGGCTACAAAATCGTCGACGAAGTTCTCTTTATGAAGCTAGAATAGATTAATGCTCTCGTTTGTTCGGTAATGGCCCCGATAAATTATCTTAATAGCTCGAGGCGGCTATAAATATATTCCACGGTTCCTGCGCTCTTACGCTTGTTTTCCTGCTACATCGACTTCTCTCTGCGCGCCATCGAACTGCCATGTTTTCCGTGTCACTGATACCATGAGGCAACCAACGGTGGGAAGGGCAGGGAACGGGGGGAACGAAAGACCGACGAGAGGATAAGAAATGGAACGGGGAATGAAAATAAAAAAAGAAAGAAAAGAAGAGCAAAATAAAATATAATGGAAGTATAAGAACGATGCGACTCGATGCAACATCCTAGCGGCTTTCGTGTAAACCCACGTTGCTCGCTAATGTTCGATATTATTCAAATTTTCTTGAGCGACCTATGGTGGTGACGTGTGGCGGTGGTGGTGGTGTTGGTGGTGTTTCCTAGAGTAACGGATCGTTTTAATCTAAACTCGGTGATCTTTCTCTAGGAAATTTATTACTTTAGGAACGTAGTACTACGCTTTATTGCATGTACTGCACGCACACGCGTTTACCAATATCTAAGTGAACCTCTCCCTTGCAAATACACTTTTTTTTTTAATCGACACACCTTTCCAATTTTACGTATCTTCTCACCTGTCTGAAGAAAAAAAACTCTTACGTAATTATTACAATATTACTTTATATTTTATTATTAAACGCAAATGAATAAAAAAGAAAAAGAAAAATGTAAGATATTGTTATCAGTTATAGGAAATATACACGAGAGAGTGTAAAAATATCTCAATAACGTGACACGGAGGCTGCATAAATTCGATGGAATATTCCCATTATTGCATCGGAATGTAGACATTAAGAGGATTTTAAAAAAGAAGGTAAAACCGTAAGTTGATATACGCGCGAAGAAAATTTCATACCTATCGTAATATTGCGGAAAAAGAGATTCGTATATAAATTCCAACCGCGATATAAGGTAACCTGTTACGACAGATTAATACGTTGGTAACGTTAAACGATGACTGAACTATCGGAATGAAAAATAAGATAAAACGTTAAAAATGTCTAAAGGAGTGCCAATAAATGTTTCAAATTAAACTCACGGAGTACCTAACTGAAATGAAAGTAAATAAAATATCGTTAACGTTTAACCATTCGTTTATATATATTTTATTTCTTCTTTTTTTTTTTATTATACTTATCTGGAATTAAATGTAACATCTTTAGAAAAATATTCTTTTCATATTGCAATAAAAAATAAATAAAAAAAATAAAAACTAAATCTCGTCATTTATTGCCTCGTTAATCATGTTTGCCTTTTAGAAATCATGTTTTCTTTTAAAAGGAGAAACCGAGATGAAGACGAGCAAAAGAGGAAAGAAGAACTGTGAGTGCACTTGAACGAAGGGGTAAGTAGGTATTCGATAGTCCTGTAATGTACTCAGAAACGATGCTGAATTTCCACGAAGGAAACCTTATCTTGCAAGTACAGATAGCAGCCAATAACGACAACAGCGTTAAGAAGAAGAAGAAAAAGAATACAACGACAGAAACGCAAAAAGTTACATGTGTTAGCCAGCACACCCTGACTAACAGTGCAAGATGGCTTATTCCAATGAGAATATATGAAACAACTCGAAGGGAAACAAGCAATACTCACAACAACCATTCGCCGACTACACTATAAAATACGCCATAAAAGGAAAGAAGAGAAGAGAAGAACCGGACAAAGATGAAAAGACGAATCTGAAAGGTCTAACGCAATGTACCTGTCCGAAATAAACTAATCGAAAATTTTCAAATATTTTCCTTTTTAATAAGCTTCATTTATTAGAAATATTTTTAGCCGACATTACTACGTTGACAACTTCTCAATTTCTTTTCGAAACTCTTGACATATATGTTATACGATCATATATTAAACTTCAAATATTTCCACGATTTTATTCGCAATCGTTCAAACATTTTTAAATATTTAAACACTAAAGAAACTTTTCTACCATATTATTTAATGATATACGAAAGTTCGCTAACGAATGAAGAGAGAATGATATCGGATAAAAATAAAAGATAATAAAAAAAAGTCACTTAAATGATTGTGCTAAACGTAATGGATTTTATAATCAATCGACATAATTTATTTTAATCGAATCACTTGATTCAGTGTAATTTATGCGACACTATATCACGATAAAATATGTAGAGTATGTATTACTTTAAAAACAATTTCAGTAAAAACGAACTAAAGTATATTATATAAAAAAAAAAAATATTTCCAAGTATATCCTCGAATTTTATCGTATCTTATTTTTTATTTCAGTTTTATTTTCCTTTCGCGTAATTTCACCGGTTACGGTACTACTTTGCGAGTCATTACCAGCGCGTCATAAACATCGAAATGCGTTTCGAATGGGGATGGTGGGGAGAAACGCGATATAGGAATACAGTGGTGCAAATGTGCTATATCTTTTCAAAGGACACTGGTTGAAAAAAGGATAGGTAAAATGGAAAAAGAAGAAGTAATCGGTGAAGAAAAGGGATTTCATCGAGAATATACATCTAACTATTTGCTTATAAATCGTTAGAAATTGATCTTTCTCATTTTGAACAGATCAAATGAGAATATCCTGTGTAGAAGATTAGAGACGTAGTCGCCAGTTTGGAGAAACGGCAGAGCTCAGACATACGCCTGGTATTTGGCAGAAATTAGGTTGGTAATGCCTCAGCGACCGGTCTCAGCAGCAGCACTTAACGCCGTAAAGCTGTTTGATGGCATCGCTATCACCCCTAACCGTTCCTAACAGTCCAACGCACACTTCACACTGCGCCCGGGCTCTGACACTGCAACCGTGAGTTATTCACTTAATGCGGCCATTACGCGCTCCTCGATGGTGCTTCATCCTGATTTACTTGACAAGCATTTATTGCTTCTATCTCGGCTAGCAATATTAAACCCTCTGCTCGCGTTTCCTACGTTCATATATACATATAGGTATATCCTACGTATGTACGTATTATTATTACGTATAGAATGCGTTCTCTTATGCGTATTTTACTAACGGTGTATAAGTGTAAGTAAACGGGTGTGTACAAGCGATATCGCGACGACGACGACGACGACTACGATGATGGTGAAAGCTTCGAGGAATGATCGATGTCCAACGTACATACGAGACGCTTCGAGAAAACCCATCAACCAAACGAACTTTTATAACATATATTACTATGGCGTTTATTGGATTAACCTGTGCCTTCCTGGCTACCGATTCTACGAAATCAAATATTTTTCAACGCGTTTACACTTTGAATCAAGAATTTTTAAGCGTGACATCAAATAATTACACTTATTATTTATATGTTCTCATTACGTTAGATACCTAATTCTTGTGAACTTTGAGTCGGCTCGTATTTTATTTGAAATAAGAAAAATATCAATACTCTCTCGTGTTTCTTTGTTTAACATGCAATCGTCCTATTCGTTCCAGAGCGTCTGCGCATCTACTAGATAACTGAAGTCGATGTCGTATAATAAATATCATTCTATTGTCCTCGATTCTAGTTGGCATCGTAAGAATATTCAGTTTCTTAATGTATACCAAGAGACATTATGAAAGATGTCTGCATTGGAACGATATATAATAGTTGCTACGATTATCTTCTTCGTTTGAAAAGAACAAGTTTTATAGACTTTTAGAAATATCATACTTATCCTGTCACTATCTGTCTCTATCTTTCTCTTTCTGTTTCTATCAAAAACCATAATTTAGATGCAATACGCACGTAATAGATACATACGTAAATATGTATACATCTTATTGCGGATATCCTCTTTCGTGAAACGAACACTACTATGATGCCGTGCAGCACACACACACACACACGAGTCTCGTTTTAGCACCGACGAATCATTAAACCTACAATTAATCGCTACTCTTGGTGAAGACTCGACGAGAGTCGGAGTTTATGCGTCCGTTAGGGGCGACGACGATGATTTATCGACGATCCTATTAAAGTCAGCCGACTACTACTACTACCACTACCATTGCTCGACATGTTAATGCGTTCTCATTGCTTTTTCTTTATGACTTCCTCAACTCCGTACGTACCTATTTTTCCCTCGATACGCGCAGATCGTAATTTGCACTTACGCGTTATCATAAGAGTCGATCGATTTTCCTTAGATAACTAAATCGATAACGTGTTTTAGCGATACGCATGAACGATCATCATTTCCCTCCCTGACACCATCACGTCCTATTCATTCTATCGTTTCGTCATCGTTGCTTCATCTTCAAAGAAATACGATTCTATTTAGCATGGCAACCATTTAATATCATTCATTTCATTTTACGATATGCTAATGAGCCATAAGTCATAATACTAAATTGAATGCTTTTGGATTAAGATACAAACATATGTGCATATTTTTACCATTAGATTGTAATAATTGTCGTAACGTAGTAATAGCGAGATAGTTTGTCAAAGCAACCAAATAGATTCTTAAATAGATTATTATTCAGATTACGTTATGAATAATTTCTCCCTTGATCCCTTATGACGCAAACGATATACATATATATGTATATCGTGTTCCTTTATTTTTATTACTAAGAATGTCATGTTAAATGGGGGAAAATATTTCATTGAAATTATTATCTTATGCAAGAACAAATAAATTATTTCATTGGCATATAAAATAGATTGCTAAAAGTATGCAACACCTTGTACCCCATTCGTATATATATATGTATCTTTTTTCTCATTCTTTTTGTGATAAAGAGAAACGACTAAAGTCTTTTGAAGCATACTCAACACGTTTTATGACTTCTCGCGTTAAATCGACCAATCCAAATCGAAAAATAAGTGCTCGGAAGTATACGAAATGTTCATTGTAACAGTCTCACTTTGTTCGTAGCTGATCACTCATCAGTAGTTGACCGACACGAGTATGTATACAACACCACCCTTTTGAACGATCATCCCTTTTGTTTCCACCCTTTCTCTTTCACTTTCCCCATTCTCTTATTCGCACGTACTTCGATCGAAGGGTAAGAAAAAAGGGGTGATAGGAGAGAAGAAACACAGGGAAAATTGTGTAGGTGATGCTGGGGGTAGTATTGTTGTATCTTAGCGAACCGGTTGTTATTTCAACGCGTAAGTATACGTAAAAAGAAAAGCACGGTTAGGACAACGAGAGAGGAAGAGGAAGAGGAAGAGGAAGAAGAAAGGCAAAGTGCACACATCGGTACCAACTGTGTAATTTGAGGGTAATTCCGTGAGTCGTATAACCTGTAGGTAATGCCGGCAGGCAGGCAACCAGCCAGAGAATGCATCAGTGCTCTCCTCGTTTCGTTTAATTGGTCGTTTCTGGTTTTACGAGGTTTCAGCCGAGAGGCGCTACGACACAACGAGGACGAAAACGAGGACGATTGGATGATGGCGAAGAGAGTTCGTGAAGCCAGTGCGCGCACGAGTAAACGAATAAACTATAAGTAATACTTTAAACACTATCGATCAACAACTTGCCAACAACTGACTTTAAATCTTATAGCATATATATATATAACACTTTTCTTTATAAAAAGGATTTTTTTATTATCATGAAAATCTTTTATTCCCGTCGTGACCCACTTTCTTTGTGTATTTCATTTCATTGGATGATTCCCGCTCCAAGAATAATATTCGAATTATAAATCACCAGTCTTTACTAATAATCTTATCAAATCCATATTTGAACGAGTTATGAAAAGATTATTGTCAAGATACTGTCAAAATACTGTTCAAACGTTATCAAGATACCATTAAGAATAATATGTAATTATGGCAACGTAATGCAAAGAAACGGTATTAATATTTTTCCATGATAATTGCGTCTTGTTAGCTCGATTCCTTTTTGAATATGTATTTTTCTCGAGATATGTATATTACGGTTAGGTACTTTAAATAATCACAGTTCCGTGATTTAGTTATCGCGAAACGTGTATTAAATAACACGTTGTTCCGATTGAAATTACCTACTTTTAATTATTTCATAAATTCGAATCTACATATTGGAATATTTAAATATACCTTATTTCAAATGCACTCGTTTCTTTTGTTTTTTTATTTACTATCATAACCAGTTTTCTTGCATAATTTCGCAATTGAATGCGAAGGAACGAAAGAAAAGAACAAGAAAAAGAAAAAGAATTGAAACGAAGTAACGATGACGAAGTTCGGACAAAATTCGAGTTAAAACGATGGAACGTGGAAAGGAACGCAAGGAGGATCGAAAGTTTAGCGTTTCTCCTAATCCTTTTTTCTCTTTGTCATGTAACAAGAGCTGTGCGGGTCCAGCCAGTGGTCTGAACTTTTTTATCCTAATATGAATTCCCGATTCCGCGTAGCGCCGTGGGTCCTTGAAAGCTTGGCAACAGGACGAAAGAGTCCCCCCACGTCCACGTCCACGTTCACGTTCACGTTTACGTCCACGTCCACGTCCACGTCGTTGACGTCGAATACATTAGTGATTCCTGGCGGGGGACGCGCTGTAATGAATGTTTCCGGTGACGGCCGACATCGGGGAATGCCTCTTGCGACAAACAATACGGCCCTCTGTTCATCGAAGCCGCTTCTTCCACTTCTCTTTCTCCCCTAACTCTATCTCTTTCTTTCTCATCGACGTACATTGGTAACATGCACGGGTAAAAGGGTTCGTCGTCGTCGTAGTCGTCGTCGTAGTCGTCGTCGCCGCCCAGTTTCGATCGAAATTCGTGCTCTGACTTTCGACGATCAATGATCGTTTGCGAACCTTCCATTCTTCTTTTCGATTCTTTCCAGAGATCGTACGATGTCCAACTACCATAGTAAAGAGAGAACAAACATTCTTATATACATTTGCACT